ATGGGAACCAAACACACTCCGTGACCTTACATAATCAGATTTGAACATCCGTCTCCATTGATATGAATTCTGTATTTGCGGTTTTCTTCCACCTGAGATGTTGTTTTAATACTTATAAATAGATGTTATTAAATTACAAAACAGTAGATATATTATAGTTGAAAACCATGTCATTATATTGTCAGAAAAAACTGTTACCGATGAATACCCATAAACTCGCGTTTGAAAAAGGAGATTTCTTCTTCAATTTTAACAACTTACAATAAAAAAGTGCGGTAAACTTATCTTTTTCGTACTATGAAATTCAGTATGAAGATTTGTCACATAAAAATCCACTAATTTTATTCTCATAAACTAATATTATCATTTGATTTATTATAACATTTAAAATTATCTTTTTTTTCACTCCTACCTTCATTATTTGAAATCCAATCTCATCGAATTTAATACCACGATGTAATCTAAATGTGTTGATATCATGCTGTTCCACGGATACCATAATCTCATCATTCACCGCCGTTATATCAAACACATACTAGAATGAAAATAATAACTTTATGCTCAGCCAAAAATTTAATCGTAAATTTTCATAATCACAAATTTTGCAAAAATTTCACCATTCTTCTGTAATTTAATATTCGGAATGCAAAACAAGGGAGTAAATTTGTTTAGCTTGTTAATATAATCTTGTTGACGTCATTATCGCGTCACTGTCTATTATATTCAATTACTTGTCCAAAAAAAAAATTCTGATCGGGAGTAAATAACAACAGCCACGTTAAATCTTGTTGTCGTTTTAGCATAGACAACATCTAACCTGCGGATTACTCTGGAAAGTTCTGGAATACCAGTCACTTCCACCATTTCTTCCAGAAGCTGCATTCCATTCTCCGTGGAAGACGCTTTCGTGCCATGTTTTCTTCGGAGAAAAGATGGAGGTGTTCACAAAGTGTAATATATCAAGACTGGTAAAATTGCTGATGACGTCATTTAGGCTCATCCTGTAAGATATAAGCACGTGAAATTAACTCATGCCAAAAACTTATTTTACTCTCTGATTTCATTATGAAATATACCTTTATCAAAAACATGTTGTACATTTGACTCTTTAGTCAAACTTTATATATTTGATAAATTGTGCATAAATACAACATCTACATTTTCAACAAACAAAGTCTGGATCTGGAAAAAAAAACGTGAATTCCCCTCTAAAAATAGTGCACCTTGGATTCGAAAAAAAACCACACCTATTATTAATTTTAGTTGTAAATATTAAAGACGTTTGCTATATTTTTCATATCAAACTTATAGGCCGGATGAAAACTGTATGAAATAATTTATCTAGACTTTGCATTGATTAAGAATATGATGTAATAAACCTTGTTGCTCGAACAAATTTGTATGTTTTTGTTTGTTTGTTTGTTTGTGTTTTTTGTTGTTTTTTTTTTCTCATAAAAAAGAAAAAAAAAAAGAAAAGAAAATCAAGGGAGATAATCTTAATAATAACAGTTACGTATCTTACCAAAATTCTCTTTCATTTTCGGTGACCAATTTGTATCTTTCGTCATAGCTTAATGATTTCCATTCCGTTGAACTACAAAAAATAATATGAGACATGTCACACCAAAATAACATAATGGGTTTGCGACCAGCATGGATCCAGACCAGCCTGATCCGCGCAGTCTGATCAGGATCCATGCTGTTCGCTATCAGTTTCTCTACTTGTAATAGGGTTTGTAAGCGAACAGCATGGATCCTGATCAGACTGCGCGGATGCGCAGGCTGTTCTAGATCCATGCTGGTCGCAAACACATTATGTTGGTCTTGTCATAACACGGCTCAATTATTATAAAGTCAACATCTTTACTGTGATATTACTATGACTATGTTATTATAAATATGTTGTAATGAATATGCTATAATTATGAATATGCAGTTTCTATTTAGTTATCATACAGTGTTACGTTTAGGAAAAGTGACAAATTAATTGTAATCACATACGCATCTGCAATTGCCTAATATAATTTTTAATTCTTAACCAGTACAAAACAGCTTTTGAATGAATCATCTGAAAAAGTCGATAAGGAAACAATGGATGCTGACAACCAAATAATCCCTCTTCTATAAAGGAGCCGCGTCATGACAAAACCAACATAATGGGTTTGCGACCAGTATGGATCCAGACCAGCCTGCGCATCCATGATGTTCGCTTACAGTTTCTTTACTTGTTATATAGGGTCTGTAAGCGAACAGCATGGATCCTGATCAGACTGCGCGGATGGTCTGGATCCATGCTGGTCGCAAACACATTATGTTGGTTTTGTCGTGACGCGGCTCAAATATATCTACACAGTAGTAGTTTAGATCGACGACATGGCTGCTGATAATCAAAAATATCTTTAAGGACAAGAACTCACAAGGTCCCTTATCTTTAAATCTAACTATCTATTCCCCTTTGCGTAGTTGTAAAATAACCAGCCACAAGTTAGATCTAGTGATAATAATTGATATATCTTGTTTTTAAAAGTTAAAATAATTAAACTCATGAAACAATTTTGGAACTAACTTTTGAATTCTTACTTCCAACCAATACGCTATGATATCACTGTTATTATATACTTTACTAACGCTTACTTTTCAGCCCACGGTCCGGACCATTTCTGAGTGCCCCATGGGTTACTAAGGCGGATCATAAACATTTCTGCTTGGCCTATTTGATTCTCTAAGTTAATGGCTATGACTTTAGTAATATTGTAACCGTGACCTCGAAGTAGACCCTGGTTCGATGCTCTGTCAACTTCTTCTTTTCTACACTGAAGAATAGAAAAGCCACATTTAATACTAATCGTGACGTTAATATTTACTATATATGACGTTTAAATTTACTATATCCATGGCTACTATCAATATATAAATGTATTTCTTTTGTTTTCCGGTTATTAAGAAGGTTTGCCGAATCATAAATTCGTTTTAAAGATACTTGGCAGAATATATGACCATGTATAACTGAGTGTTTGCAGTAAATAATCATTTTCTACCAATTCGGTTTATATATACAAAGAACCAGGACATAATTTTTAAGAAATCGCTTCTATTGGATGGCAAATAAAGTTTGACACTAAAAGCAAATATAAGTCTATGAAACTCTTTCTTACATCGAAATTACAGTTCAGTAGTGCTCTGTCGTCCATCGCATCTTTAAGTTTGTTAAATAGGTCAAGCTGACAGGTCGGGTCGTTTGATGCGAAGTTTGCCAGCACGAGTTTCTCGGCAACACCACCAGTAAAGTCCACAAGAGCATCAGCAGTGCGACCATATCCCAGAGTCTCGTAATCACCGTACAACCTGAAATATTTTTCTAGGTCACATGACTATTAAATGACATTTTTTTCTGCTCACATGACAACCATTTTCAGGTCACACGACTATCATTTTTTTCAGGCCACATGACCATTATTTTTCAGGTCACGTGACTTTCATTTTTCAGGTCAAATGACTATCAGTTTAAAAGATCAAGTGATCATTATTTTGTCAATCTTATTGGCTGTATAATTATGAAAATGTTACATTTTGTTTTATCTTAAAGGGACTCCACTGAGGTTTTTTACATGACGGGACTGGAATTTTTTTTTCGAGATAAGTGTTCTATTTGTTGTAGGTCTACATCAGCAACATGCGTACATAATTTCAGATCATTTGGTTACTTCGATTTTTTCTCTCAGAATTATCATTAGTAAAAAGTAACCAAAATTGAAGTGTTGACACGCTTATCACTCAAGTCGGGCTAAGAATAACACAAACAATCAATATAATTCTGATTGTTTTTTAATTATATTTTGCAGGTTAGTTTTATTTTTATTGAGTGCTTCACTTGGTCTTTAAAAGGATTTAGAGAAATTTGATGCTTTAAGGGTTTTTAACCTCAGTGCAGATCCTTTAATAATTTTGCAAACATAAGGAAATATTTATAGTGGTCTTTATGTTTAATTGAATTTAAAGTCGATTATTGAATATCATAATCTTGAACAATTCATTTAACAGTTTTACTTTAACGAAAGGTCTAAGTACAGTCGAAATTCGTCCTCACTTCCCGTCAAATTCGAATAAGAACTTTTGAGGAAAAAAGACAATCGACGAGATGTTCCAAAATGAATTTCAGTATTCACGTCGATAAATAAAAAAGTAAATATGAATCATATTCGTGCATACTTTGCATACGCTTTCTCCAGCAATGCGCTCCAGAATTCCGCCTTAGTGGTGGAATGACAGAAGACAAGTCTACCATATTTGGTCGGTAACCTGTCATCAACGACCACCTCGATCCATTCCCCATACCTCCATAAATGGAATTTGAATATACCAGCATAGGTTGGTTTCTCGGCATTGTATTTCCACTCCTGGTTCTTGAGATCTGGTACTACCTGGTTGATTAATTAATTGATTATGAGAATAGTTAAATTTATGCAGATAGCTAATACCACGTGATAGAACACTTCTTTAATTGGAAAAAAGTAAATATGTTACAACCGGGTAGCTAACATTGCAAATTTGTGGAATGGTTTTACGAACTTCCGGTGTAAGAGTTCCGATGAGGCTTGAAATAATGTTCATTAAGGACATGATGCATGCAGATTAGAAATTACTGATGTTGTCTCTTCATGTTAATCGTGAAACTTTTAAAATTTAAAGCCAGGGGAATCCGTGACCGAATAGTTTAATTCGTTGACTTCAAACCTCTTGCCTCTCATAACTCTAAGCTCGAATCCCGGAAGGGAATTCGGATTCATTTAAGTGAGGAAACTATCAAGTTAGCCTACGAACGTCATGTGATTCTTATAACATTCTCGCTCGTGCTAAAATAGTGCAGATCGAGGCACCTGAAGTCTTCCTCCACTAGTTAACTGTTAAGCTGAAATATTGAACTGTAGTATGTAAGTGCAACATATAAATCAACCGAATGAAAAATAAATTAAATAAACAAATTGATATTAAATAAAATA